GCCTGTTGCGCCTGCTCCTTCGCTACTCGACGTCGATCTGCGTCTCGTGTGACTTCCTCCTGTGCGAGCCGGTCGCGCTCTGAGTCCCGGGCCACCTTATCTTCTGATAGCCGACGGTGTTCTGTATCGTGCACGATCTTCTCTGGGTTGACTCGTTCCGCTTCCTCCTGTTCCTCCTGATCATATCGCCCCTCCGACATGGGCACGGACTCTTCCTGCGTGAGCTGCTGCTCTGCTGCTGCTGCGGTCGCATCCTCTGTGCTTCGGAAAGGCGACTGATGGCGCACAGCCTCTCCCTCGTCCCAAACCATACCATCCGGCCACGACTGCGCCGCGAGGGATCGCGGCATCTCCTCCACATCTGATATGGGGCGCAGACCAAGATCCGCCTCGACCCGGTCGTTTGCCCCAGGATCCTGCGCCGTCTCTTCCACTACGGGAACTGCCGACTCCGACGCTGTAACTCCCTCGGTGCTGCGCTGGACATCTGCGTGGCCGTCGAAGATAGCGGCGAGGTCAAAGTCGGTCGCGCCCTCGCGAACTTTCCAGGTCAATTGTTTACGACGTGTAGAACGACGAGAGGCCGAAACTGTGACGCTCTGTGACGCCTCGCTCGCGTCTCTACGCGTACGGTGTCGCCGCAGACGAGTGGTAGTCGCACTCTGTTGAAGCGCATCACGTTTCTTGGCGTCATTGGCACGCGTCTCCAGTTTCTGCCGTGAGGGTCCGCGACGTGACCGCGGACCGAGCGCCTTGCGAGTGCCGGCCTTTGCGTCTGGCATCGTGGCGACCACAGCTGTAGGCTCAGCAGCAGGAGGGCCGAGATCACCCGCAGTATTCTACCGATAATATCCAGATGTCAGTATTGATAGCGGACACAATTCATTATGACGCACATGGTCGACCGGACGCTGAGCAGAATCCAACTCGCTCGCTTCCATGCCTTGTGTGAAGGGCTATGGGACTATGAGTACCAAGCGTGAAAGGACATTGGTGGTACCAACATGAACGAGGTTATCAGTGGCGACCTCAATAGTCACGACTTGGCCTGTGGTCGAGGTTGCCGACAGAATGGACGCGCCATCTGTGCTGATTGTAGCAACACCGAGTAGAGCAGAGTTGCTGAGAGTCGCGTCCACGCCCGGCTGACCAACAGGCGTCTCCTGTGCGACAGGCTCTAGGTTTAGATGCAATAGTCCTGGATAGAACCACGCCTCACTCACTCGGTCAACTATGGGCGCTCCGTCGTAATCTTGGCTAACAGTCTAAGATGACCACGTCAATCAGAAAGCCTTTTGAGTAGACCACGGAAGCACTAACCAGAGGCTGAGGTTCCAGCGGGGAGTTCAGAGGCAACGGGGCGTCGGCGCGGAACGCAACGTCCTCCATAACCGCGCCTAACCTAGCATCGGCTCTGATGACCGAGTGTCAGTAGGTTATGTATAGCGCACACAAGGGCGTACCTCGTAAAGTACCCGGAGCGCTCCTTCACGGCCATAGACGATTCGCTGTGGACAAGATGACGACGTTGTAATTTCTTGTTTTGATGCCTAGGTAGATGTGTAGCCTTGGAGGGTTTGAACGATATACTGCCATCGGCTCGAGGTAGCGCATTAACGAAAGCAAAATCATCGCTGTCATTGCTGCGGACAGAGCCGGATGAGAGAGAGGATATGGAATCCTGATCTTCCCGCTCAGTATCAGCCTCCTGGAGCGATGGCTCTGCCTGACGGGTGTGATCTTGACCGCCTCGACGAGGGAGTGCCTTCGTAGGCCTGGATGCTCGGCCACCTTCGGAGTCGCGCAAGTCATCTGGGGTTGCGTGCGCCCGCGCAAGCTCGCCGTCGTCGTCTTTGGTGCGCTTCACTGTTAGACTATTAGCGAGGCAAACTTGATATGCGACGTTGATGTTAGACGCACTTTGAGGGTGACAGAGCGAGACGCAGTATGATGGAGTGCCCATATTCTTCCAGCGCATATATATATAGCAAAGTAGATATGCGCGGGTGCACGGCGGAGAGAAGAACAGGCATAAGTTGAGTTAGGGAAGACAAGTAGACGAGAAGCAAGTCAAACAACCGTCCGTACAACGATGGATTGGTTGCCCAGTTGTGATCTTCATCCAAGGTAAGGTGCACGACAACACAGCTCGTCAAATCTCGTTGATTGTGGCAATGATATGTGTCCAGTCATGGCGGTCAGCGGCAAGAACAGATAGCGAACGTGAGGAGCTTGTTGTAGGTCGAGCTTGTCATCGCGTTCGCGTCATCCCGACGGCAAGCCTGGAACGCGCTCCAGTGGATCTCTGACCACAACCTCGATGTCGCCGAACGTCCTCCATGCAGTTCGCATATCATATCCTGCATCTTTGCCTAAACGCGCACGCAGAAGACGCGTCGAGCGATACTTGATGCTGCCCCGTATTCGCCTGGGTGACAGCAGCTCATCTGCTGAGTCACATCGCGTGACATAACCATCATGACCGACATCCGCTTGCCTATTGTCCTCTTTTCAACATCTGGAACGCGTAGGTCTTTTGACACCGCATGAATGCAATCCGAGCAGCGCTCCCAGTCTATACTGGTGACGCGTTGCTCTCTCTCCAAGGCCTGATGTACATTGGGCAATCCATGTGTCACTGCAGGATGGTATCTATAAAAGTACGAGTCTGTTGTCCAGCTCACCCCGCTACACCGTCTTACTTCTCGACCACTACGGATCCTAGCAGCAATATGACTATATGCGACAGACACCCAAGCAGGCGAGCAAAAGGCACGGCTTGTGTACGCGCTATGATCTAACTCTATGCTCAGCTACCAACGTTTGGCAAGGCTCACTTTCACCTCCCACGACGCTTTACAAGCGATCAGGAAGCGCTGTCAGAGTGCTATCCGCATCAATCCATCTGTCTTCATGTCCCATACCAAGAACGCGTCTCACGAATATTTCGCCAATGCATTCGAATACGAACCAAACTACTGCTCCGCGGAAGCAGTTGTGCTGCTACTATTCATCATGTTCGAAGCTGGCCAAAGCCACGAAAATCTCAAAGCTCATCGCGCAACGTTGGAGAGCTTCTGGGATGACGCCGCTGTGTACGTACGTTCACGGCCGATCTTGAGATTTTCTGCTTAGCGAAGTTCTTAGGGATTTTCCAACTCTTAGAGGGGATTACAGATTCGACAAGAAAACGTGGACGGCGAGCGGCAATCCGTGTAGGTCGTCATACATGACCCTATCTTTCCTCAAGTTGTTCCTATACCGCCTCGATCTGTCTGAGCCGATGGACGAAGCGTTCCACAAAAGGGTAGAGGCCTTCAGAGCTCATCGGCTGGAATTGGAGGCAAGAGGCGAAGCACTGCCCCGACTGCCAGCGTGCGTGTAGCTCCGCGCCTCACCCCCGATCATGCACTAAAGCTTTGCACAGGCGCCTGATAAATCCTTTCCGGCGGGACGGCAACATAGGACTCTCATAATCAGGGGACATTGATAGTGCGAGAGCGAAGCTACTAGAGGGACAAACGTGCGTAGTATGGGGATAGGCTGAGGAGTGAATGATGCTCGTTCAAATCGAATGTAGTTCCTATCTTAGTGACGCAGATCAAGACGAGAGAGTAGGAATAACATTGCTATCATCGTCTACAATGATGTCCTCCCTCTCGTTGTTACCTCTCAGCGCCTCCACGAAGAACATGAGTCATTACGTGTCCTGCTCTTCCCAGCCGAAGAGAGACGAACGCACAGGTGTCCTGACATGCTCTGACTGCCGTGTACGGACGCGTATAGCAAGGCTACACTACCAGACCATTCGAGGGTGCCCGAACCACCAGAAGACTAACCCACGGCCCCGATACGACTTGCAGACACGGTACTTCTCCTTTCAAACGCTTTCCCGAACAGCACTCTTTCTCTTTTTCGTATCATATTCTCCCGTCGCTAATACCAGTCCTTCGACGACATCTGGTGGGTTCTTGTGGAGCAGCGACGCAAAGCCAGCGACAGCAGGTAGCCACACGATAGCCTCACAACGACGTTTCCTAGGGCGCGCGAGCCCGCACTCATTTCACCGCGCTCGTCGCGGAATGGAGCGGAAAACACATCGAAGCCTGCCGTGCCTCATATAGCGCTTACTTCAAGATACCAGTTCGCGTACGGTTGGCTCTCAGTGCTTACTAGAGCGACCTGCTAAAGATAGCGATGCGGGGATCGGGAGATGGAATATGGGGTATGGATATGTACAGACTAGGTGATCGATGAACGGCGGCGCGTGGTAGTGTGCACTCATCCAGACCACTGACTTCTGGTTCTTGTCACGTACCTCCAACTAACGAGGCCCATGAGTAGGTATCGAGAAAACACGAGTATTTGTCTGGATAGTGAGGCCTTCATTCGTCGCAAACGGTTAAGCATCGGCACAATGGACCTTGAACAATATCACGAGAGTAACCGCATCGACAGCGAGTGTATGAGAGAGGGCACATAGTTCATTATAAGAATGTTCGCAGGCGAGAGGATTTAGGGATCTGTTAGGGATCGGTATGGACGAGGATGAAAGCGCATAGGACCGTCGCCTCGGGAGTCTCTGCAGCGCATACATGTAGACCTCTGAGTGTCAAGTAAAGCGCCCACGGTTGTTCACAAACGACGTAACCACTTCGTTACATGGAAGTCCATACTATTGTACATGACCATACACACAGAGACGCAGTTATCGAACAAACACCCTTACAAAATACCAGCTTACTGAACGGCCGTGGAGTCGATAGACGGCGCCCTTGTTCACGACTACCAGGGTCAATTGAAGGTCACGCTAGGCTCGCATTGAGACCTAGATACCGGCAGTCTGACGTCTGACGTTATTACAAGCATCATGGTTGAGAAACGCAAATGCGTACCGACTGGGTGCGCTGCTGCATGAACAGGCGTTGCTGCGCCAGCTCCCCCTCGAAGCGACGCCGGCCGAGCTCTTGGTCCATCTCCTGCTCACGCTCAGAGCAACGTAAGTTCAGATCGCGGTCCTGCCTCAGCTCAAGCTCGTAACGGCGACGTTCTACCTCATGATCTTGCTCGAGTTCACGCTCCTGACGGCGACGCTCCAGCTCTCGCTCCTGCTCCAACTCGCGCTCCTGACGACGACGCGCAAGCTCTCGCTCCTGCTCCAACTCGCACTCCTGACGACGACGTTCCAGCTCAAGATCCTGCTCGAGTCTGCGGTCGTTGCGGCGACGCTCGCGCTCGCGCTCCTGCGCCTCCGTGCGTGCGTAGCGCTGACGCTCAAGCTCGCGGTCAATCTCCAGCTCGCGCTCCTGCTCCAATTCACGCTCGTAGCGACGACTCTCGCGCTCGCGATCTTCTTCGGCCTCATATTCACGGCGACGGCGCTCCAGCTCGCGATCCTGTTCCCGTTCGCGTTCGAAGAAGCGACGCTCCAGCTCGCGGTCCTGATCGAGTTCGAGTTGATGACGACGCTGCGCTAGCTCTTGATCCTGCTGCCACTCGTTCCCAACAGCCTGGCGTTCCCGTTCCCGTTCCCTTTCATAGCAGCGGCGGCCCAACTCCTGCTCGACTTCGAAGCGGCGGCGGTCTAGCTCCTGCTCGTATTCGTATCGGCGACGGTCCAGCTCCTGCTCGCGCTCGTAGGCCCGCCGATCGAGCTCCTGCTCGCGATAGTAGCGACGTCGGTCCAACTCCTGCTCACGCTCGTAGCGACAGTGAGAGCAATCATGCTCGCGCGCTGTGTCTTGCGCATGACTACGCCCGGGTGTCGGCTCGCAGCACGAGTGCTCGCTCGCAGACGCGTCGAGAAGGTCCTCGACCTGGCGGCATTCCATCTCTTCTTCCTGCGCTAACTCCTGATCGTCTTCGCGGAACGTCTGGTCAGACAACTTCTGGCCGTCCTGGTCACCGCAAACCCACTCTTGCGCAGAGTCTTGCTCGAGAGAAACGCCCCGATGTTGGTGTTCATCAACTCCCACCACATTGAGCCTGTGGTCGCGCCATTCGAAGGGGTGTTGTTCGCTAGCGGTGTTCTGACCACCATCCGATGCTTGCGGATCGACATTTCCCGAGGGCGTCACGAGCTCTGGGGAACCTCCACGAATGCTACCGACGTTGTCCAGACCCTCCCTGACCTTCCACGTGGGGTGATTACCCCGGCGAGGCCGTTGCGTGAGAGAGGAAGGCGCTGGAGAGCCCAGGTTTGCCGGCGGGAGACTCGTTTGCGAGAAATCTGCGGCTACAGCTGACGCTCGTTGGACAGCGACAGGTAAACGGCCCAGAATGAGAGCGCGCTTCCCAGCATCCCGAGCGCGTTTGTTCTCTTGCGAGGACGGAATCGCACGATGCGCGCGCTGCGGTGCGCGGTGATCCGAAGATGGGGGCCATGCAGCGGTTGCATGCACATGCGCTGCAGCTTGCGGCTCCTCAACAGCGTTCTACGCATCAGGACGGAGAAATGAGAACATGATTTAACAAAGATAAACCGCAGATGACTCACGTCTCCTTCAACGGGTCCATTCGCCACAGGGACCACGTCCGCGAGCGTGTCCGCAACAAGGTGTTGAACATGTACAGGCTCCATGGCTTGGAGGCCCTCAGCGTGCTAGACGTGACGCAAAATGAGGACGTGATATAACGGAAGGGAAATGGATTACGCACATCCTCTTGGACCGGCCCGTTCGTCACTGAACCCACTTCCGCGTATGCCTCTGGAATAGTGTCTTCGCCGTACGCAGGCTCCATGGCCTGTGAACCCTCGCTCGTGTGCTAGACGTCAGGATGATTGAGGACCAGATGCGACGAATGAGTAGCAGATGACTCACTGCCTCTAACACGGAACCACCTAGCATTACATGAGAGCTAGCCTCCAGGAACTGGACATTCTCGGGGACGGCACTAAAGCCTGTCGCGTTCATCCTAACAAAGAACGACGGTAAGTACAACGACCATCGCACATACTAGGGCAATACACAAACCTCCGATAATAGCCTGACCGTTGTTTGATAGCGTGAGACGATTCGCTATGGACGAGATGGCGCCGTTGTAATTTCTTATGTTGGTTCAAAGCGGGCAGATGTAAGGACTTCGACGGGCTGAAGCCCACAGTCCCATCCTGACCGACGGACGTGTCGGCGAAGGCGTAGCCCTCGCTGTCGTCACTCGCAGTAGGACTCGAAGGCAGACCACCGGCCATCTTTGGATAAGGCTGTGAGCTCGAGACACATGGGACAACTGGGAAACACACACCTGCGGAGCACCCTCCTGATAGACAGAGCGTCGACGTGGGGCCTCGCTCGTGTCGGTTGAGCCCGGATCATCACTGTCGTAGTCGCTTGAGTATCCCGAAAGAGACGCGGTGTCGCGATCGCGCTTCACTGGGTAGGATATCTCAGTATGCGATACGCCACGAATACAGAATTATAGAACCGAAAACGTACTTTGCCACCGTTCGATGGGCAGGAGCAGGACGAAGGAAAGACCTCTTGAGGGCTTCGCACTATATATACTCCGACTGCTGCCTTATGCGCGGGAGCGAAGCGGCCAAGTACGCCCAAAGAGACTGTATGGTGAACATGTCAACGTGAAGCGATGGAGCGCAAGATGACATATGAGACTGGCGTCCACGGACAACCAGAGTCTACAAGGCAACAACATAGTCGGTTGCGAAAACGTCGTCCAGTATGACATGACGGGCAGGAACAAAGAACAATGCACGAGCAGAGACGTTGTTTCGCTACGCGGACCACGTGAGGTAGCGTCATGTTCCTTGCGTAATGCCCAATGATCGGGTCGCAGGCGTTGAGTTTACCTTGCCGCTCAAGCGCTCAACTCAGACCTCAACATCTATTCTCGTCCTACGGCCATGAACCAGGGCACTCGAGGCTTATCTGTTGTGCTATGGCCATTGCACATACATCGATTCGAAAGACAATATCATTTGTCAGTTCATCTGACAGACCAACGTTTTGTTGTCTTCTAACAACTATTGTTGTCCTCTAGCTACTAAGCCCGCTTACGTTCCAGGAGGGACACGAGTAGGTAGCTGTCTTTATATAATCCTCAAGGTACGATGGCCGCTACACCATCTCTTTGTTCAATATGGCCACCGTCGAACGCGATACCGCCAACGCAGGACTTCTTGTGAGTGCAGCGATTGGGTCTTCCTATGCTGAGTTCATCTTTACTCTACGACAGCGCCGTGCCAGACAAGTAGTTCTGGGTCTACTCGATCGCCGTACAGCTCGCGATCCTTTCCCGTCCCACAAAGTCCCGTCCATTGAGCAAGTGTCGGCGTACGAGACGCGCTGCGTTGGTGGACCTTCCAAGGACAACTGGATGGTGGATCCGACTCGCAACTTCCGTTCATCTTCGTGGAACCAGAAGGCGTATGCTCTCCTTGCGGAGTACATGCTTGAGAATCAGCTCATGGACGCGAGCGACCAGCGGGTACTTGAAGCTTGGTTCACCCATCATCACAACCATACTCTACGGAGTCACTACTACTCACTCAACGGGGCAAGTCCGATTGGGGCAGCGTCACTCGGTGGGAGGGCCAGGGCTCAACGCCGTGATATGGTACGAGCACGCACCTTCACTATGAGGCAACGTCTGAAGCTTGTGGTCCCAGCAGGCTAGGGCTCGCCAGCAAATTTGGCACCGTGGTCGCCTTACTCAGATCGTTTCTATCAGCGCAGCTAGTCAAGACATCGCCAGTGACGATGACAACGATAAGGTCTTTTACACTATTCACAGTCGCACCTTCGATGTTTGATCTGATCAGACTGTTCACGTCTCATTGAATGCTCTCTTTGATGATTGTATATGTCCCGTGTGGATAGTTTGTGGCCCGCGTCTCGATTCCATGTACTCTGCACCTTATACATCCGTCCCCGCTACGTCTTAGATCCTGTATGTCTACTCCTCAAGCGCAGGCAGCTCCTCAAGCGCTGGCAGATTGTACATGTTTTCGCCTCATATACAGCACCATGCCATCTCACCCGCCTACCCTTGTATACGCCTGAAACGTATTGTATAAGATCAGGCTATTGTGCCCGTGCACAACCGAGACGTGTAGACGTGCTCTTGCGACGTCAGTCTTTAGCACCCATAACTCGGCGAAACCCTATGACTCGCCGCAAGAAGTCTACGTGGATAATACTACACGTACGAAGAAAGGTTTCGGGAATATTGCATAGTAGCCAGTATGAATGCGACCAGCACGGCACCGAACGCGAGCCAGAGCGCGACACGCCCGAACATCCGACCTGCGATATGAATGAGTGTCGGGATACGCGAACGGTGCTCTCGTTGTGCGTACGTAGGAGCGGAGACGGAATGGACCGTGCTTCCCACACGTATAATCTTCCATCCATGGTACTTCCAGCAAGCACGATCTGTCCTCCATCTTCGCTGCAATATGCCTGTCATCAACACTCCATTGAGCGAAAACCTTTCACTCGTGCTCAAGAGAGGCGGTGTTACTCACCGCCAAAGCCGGCGTGCGTGCCGTCTTCTCTGCGGAGGAGAATGTCAAGACGCGTTAGGCCGTGGTTGAATACAACCGGAAGAAAGGTCGACCGTACCAAGCACGAGCTTCTGCATCTGAAATGGGTATTTCCCATCCGTGTTCCAGATCCGCACCTTACCAGAGGACGTGCCAGTCACCACCGCATTTCCGCCATGTGTATACAAGATTGGTAGTGGCGCGGCATTCGATTCGGGGTCCATAGGCGCTCGCACAGTCAGCACGCGGGTGCGCATGTCATATACAGCTAATCCATGGTATATGTTGAAGGTGGCCAGAAGACGGTGATCGGGCGATATATCAGAATAGCCGCTAGAAGACACTCTCAGTATGAGCTGAAGGACGGCAGGTTCACGTTCAGACTCGTCACCATCCGTAATTTGGAATCCTCCAGACCACGGCAAGAGTAGGGACGTCCCAGCAGCTAGGCCGCAGGATAGTCAGTTAATCGTCACGCGATTCGAGCATATCCAACTTCTCACACGACTCCATGCCACATGTAAGTGCACAGCACCGTCCCCGCAAGTGTATCCTCCACCATCATCGGATTCCCTAGCCAGTGCGACGAGGTAATTGCCAGCTCCTTACTCGGATCAGCGACATGGTCCTGCGGGAGCGTAGGTATGTCCAGTAGCTTCTTCCAGCTCCCTGACGTATATGAGTTCCTCTACCACATAGGAACGATAGAGTATGATCATCATCGTACCTGGCTCAAAGGAGCTGAACTTCCATACGGTGGCCAGAGATGTCGTTGCTGTTATGATGACATCCGCTTGGTGCACTTGAGAAGCTTTGATGTGCTGGACAGTGCCCTGACCGTGGGCCCCATGGCGTCGTGCGCTGATGGACAACAATTTCTGAGCGCATTAGCGCTAGTTCAAAGGGCGGGCACCTGCACACATACCGTGCCCATGACCGAACATGCGAATGCGAAGCCGGATGTAGAACCTGCGTAGAACAGCTCCCGCCGGTGCGCGGGCCAACTAACCACGGCGATCGGTAGCCCTACATCCAGTTCTCCTAGGAGACGTCCACTTGCCAGCGACCAAAGACGCAAGATTCCATCAAGACCCCCAGAAAGCAACCAGTCGCCACTTGGATCGATTGCCAATGACAATATCTCTTGAGCCCGTCCATCCAAGCCATGAGCTTGCCAGGTTGCGCGGAGTGTATAACGAAGCGGCATCTGCATCATATGAGTAGGTAAGAGCCATGCAAATCCTTGTCTACCATTCATACTGAGACGCACATATAGGGTGTACGAACACGTAGTTTTGGTGGTCGATGGTTGGACCTGATGGTGGTTCGGGATGATCTAGCGCGGAACCTTCGTGCCGCCTATACCCTAACCCTAACTGTTCACGCGTTCACGTCTGCACACCTCTCCGATTGCCTGAACACTGTTCGTATAAGTCACAATGACTCTCAGGGATCCTACTGTAAGAGGGGTGCTAGATCCTCAGCTACATGCCATACGTCGGCTACCCAGTCCTATGAGTGTGCGTCCGGCTGTCAAGAGGCTGACTCTCCTACTGTATTCAAGGATGCGCTGCTATCGAAGATGCGATCAGGCAAGAATGACAAGGCGTCATACCCCCGTAGTGTACACAGTGAGTATGCTGCCTTGTATACAGACCTAGGTTGCCTTGTAGGGGTTGTATGATAGAACTGTTCGGTAGCTACTCTACTGTATGATATGGCTTGTGCGAGTGGGAGCGGATCCTGCTCACAAGATATAGTACCTGAGAGAGAGAAAGATCGAGGCGAGGGTCGAGGGTAACGCTAGATGCGCCGCTGCGCACGCCGGGCCACGCCTCGGGGATTAGCTTGGGCCCGAGCCGCGCCTTGGCTGCGCGGCGTTGACTCTTCCTCTCAGCCAATCCTCGCTCGATCTCGCCTATGCGTAGCACATCAGGCTGTGCTCGCAGATTACGGCAGAATGTGCTGAACGGAGAGTTCGTTAATGAGAACGAGTAGACAGAACAGATACCGCGACGCCCCTTGACACGGTATGAAGGTTCTTACACCGCGTGAAGATCGAGCACCGACACTGAAAGAGCTTGAGATGGGAAGCACCCGGGCCAGTGCGCGATAAACATCTCTGAAACCGCCGGCGAGCATGCCAAACGACGAAGGAGCCTCCCCGAGCAAGCCGCGCAGGGCGAACAAGCGTCGATAGACGTCTTCGGGCGGCCGCGATCAGTCGCTGATGCGCCTACTCAAGTACTCATGTCTCAACAGTCGAGGGCGTGAGGAAAACAGGTGAACCTGGTTCCGTAGGAGTGGGACGTCGAATGACGATCCCACTCTGGCAGCACCGACTAGAGCGCACGTACAAAGCACCGTATGTGCTCCGCTCAAAGGACAGGAATCGCGGACGGATCACGCGAGCTCTAACTCTAAGGCAGCTGCCAGACCAACATGAGAGAGCAGGATATGACTGGACTTGGTCAGTACGCGGATTGGAATGAGTGGACAGCGGATATGATGGACCTAGTATATGGCATCTTACCGCAACCTACTAGGCTCTTGCTAAGGCCGAGAGAAGGACCGACAAGGGACGCGCGTCCAACTCGACCTTTCGATGAAGAAGGAGCGGGAGCCTGACGAATCTGATGCCACGAAAACGTCCACGGGCATCAGGATCCGATCTCAGGGATCCTATGCGTCAGGATAGACTCGAATGACACTGTATCGGACCTACGGATGCAGGCAACCTCGAGGGCCCAAGCGTCTGCTGCAGCAGTGTTCACTAGCTGCAGGTACCTGATGGACGACAGATGACCACATGATCTAGAAGGTCTGATGAACTTTATATGCCGAGTAGATGTATACGGTTTATACAGGTAAAGGGTACATCGGGCGAGTTCCCGAAGAGCTCGAGAACAACTAAGTCCGTAGGTAGCGAGCAGGGTGTGAACGAGATCGTTGTGTCAGAGGAGACGGTGTTATCATCCGACCAGTTGCTGAGTAGGATAGGATGAGCGTGGTGGAAGGCACTGTCAAGAACTGGGATCAAATGGGATGGAAATACATGCTCGGACGTAAAGCAATGCGAAGGAACATTTGCAGCACGGTCCAAAGGTAGGAGAGCCCATAAATTGAACTGCGTAGGATAGCCGACACTTCCGTGGAGACGATTGCTGATCGTGAATTGCACTGTTGCAGTGACAATCTGCACCGCACTTGACAAGCGAATGCCAATCGTTCCGTAATATCCAGCGAGTGGCCAACAAGTGTGCGGAGTTGTTTCAGACGCTACAAGCGACTCTGGCGACGCCGACAGGATGTAATCCAGCTCGAAGAGCGACTCAAAAGCTTCCTGGAGGTATCGAAGTGCTTGCGGAGACTTGGAGACAAATGTCGGCGAGGTCAACGAGGTTTCAACGAAAGCACCCGCGACAGAGTCGCCTACTTCTCTGAGCTCACGCGATGGCAATTCGAAGTTGCTGGGCACAGCAACGACGCTGGACGTAGGTTGGGAGGTGAATAGGTAGTTGACGCGCCATAGCAGGTTATGTCCCGGACTGAACGGACAATCGATAGTGAGATGAAATGAGGTCCATGCGATAGTAACAGCCAGAAGCAGTGCGATTACGGCGAATGTGCAGCGCAGCGATCGAGACTTATCATGTTCATGAGATGAGAGTCATCGAATTATCGCATAACTGACGCACAGCCTGTAATTTTTTTGCACTTTGCTTGACGGCCCCAGAATCGCGTCCCGTGCTATGTTCATGTAGGCGGGAGTCAGTAAGAGCCTGTTGGGCTAGGAGCGTCAGAAAGGACCAAGGCGACGTATTCATCTTACGCACATGGACTCTTCCTGATCGCCGAGGCAGAAAACTAGCCTCCTCTTGAGCAAAATGGGTTCGACGCAGGTGAACCGGAGCTTCCATGATCTGGTTACCCGAGCGTGTCGATACGGGTACTTCGCTGAGCGCTGGGCCTGAGTGGTGGACGGGAGAGAAAGTGCGCTCAGCGCCGCGGATGGACGCGATACCGTGACAAGGGTGCGGTTGTGACTGAGCGCTCAGAAGGCATGCGCTTGCTACGACTACGCGCTTGCAGTCAACGTTTCAACACTGACGACCGTGTTCGCCACCTTGTCTTCCCCATCCGCGCTGCCGTAGCGCTTGTGAAATGGAAATATCCAAGAAACTGTTTGAATATACCCCTCGCACAAGTCAAGCGCATCGTGCAAGCTGACCCCGGTGAGTAAGCATCTGCCCAAACACGTCTGTGGACATGGATCTCACGTTTACCGATGGTAGCATGCCATACTGTAAGGACGGAAGCATCGCTCGTTATCTCTGTAGCTACAGATTCATTCATTCGCCGACTCACTCGGTCGGCTCATGATGAAACTGGGCGTCAAGGTCGGGTCTCCTTACTGAGGCCGATGTTGGTGGCATCCTGCACCCAAGCGAGGAGGATCTCAATGCGGCACGCCGCACTTCCGGGTCCGTTGGCGGTGGCGACTCGATCGCAGTCAGTCCTTCGTGAATGGAGGATATCGACATGCTGCGCCACGTATGGGCTCGAGATTAAGTACTGTATTCTGTCTGCATGTAATTCTGATGCTCATATAGGTATGGAAGCTGGCTACGTGCAAAAAGGAGTCGGGCATCCGGGCATCGTCAACTTGCCCCTTCGCTGGCTTGTGTCATCACACCCATGTCGCGCCAAAGCGCACCAACTATCCCGAGCTCACCCTATTTCTTGAATAGGCCTCGTCCTCCCCTGTGCACACGTATGTAGGTCCCCAGGTTCCCACTCTAGCTATGAAGAGATTCATCTTGATGCTTACTAGCTATGGATTGCGCGTCGTGCCCGTCGTTGTTCATTGATACTCGTGCGAGCCGGCGCCGGCGCCCGGTCAGGTCTTGAAAGATACGGCTCTTGATCGCATGCACGGTATGCACATGCTTGTTCTCAGAAGGGGCTGGATCGTAATGAACATATTTCTACTAGGAATAGTGGACTCGGTGCTCAGTGCGGCCGCAGGCCTTGCGATGGGCATGCAGATTCGGCTGTAGCTCTTTGAACTCTCGTATATCTGGTGCGCACGATCTTCATCTAGTGCTATGCGTCTATGTCTAACACCAATCTTAGCTGTACACGATATATCCTCGACTGATGCGCGACTGTTGCTACCAAGTGGGGTCGGTGTATACAGACAGAATATGCATGTAATATCAAAGCTTGCCTACTATGATAGCCTTTCGCCTGTCTCTTTATTGCCCTGCACCATGCGACATCGGCGAGTATTACACTTTCATCGATACAATGCGAGACGCTGCGGCTCGCCATGCATTTGCACAGTGATGGACTTGCGAACGAGAATGCTGAGGGGGCAGCAGACGGTCTGAGAATGCGCGTATGCGATTGCTAGGAGTGAAAGGGCGCGCCGAGTCTGGACGCCTCTTAATCCGATTCAACAGGAATACGAATACGAAGCTACAAGTAGATATAGAGTAAGAAGGATTAACACCACGGTCCAGGCGGAACATGTATAGTACTCGGTCTCAAACATTGGCTGGCATACGCTTCTTGCGCAGCATACCGACACGTCCCCGAGAGATGCGAGCGGCCTTGACCTTCTCTTCCCGCTTCTGTCGCGAGGTCTGGTGTACAGTTTTCTTGACGTCAAGTTTGCCCAGGAGACGGGGAGAGCGACGTCTGGAGGCTGGGCCCTTCTCCTCCATCAGGACGGCAGGTGTGACGTCTGTTCGCAACATGATCAGAACATATGTAGACGACTGGTAATTAGGAAGCCCATCGACTTACCAGATACATTCTCCGTAAGATCCACGTAAGGGACGGTCTTACAAACCTGCACTGCTCGACCGGAATAATCCAGCGCCTCGGCGACCCAGCGGCAACGCAGTGCCCTTTCGACATCCCAACGCCTGTCTGGGTCTGGTTCCGAAAGACCGCGTAGAACTTGACGTCCTATCAGAGGATTGTGAGCTTGACTCCCTCGATAGTTTAAGACGGTCACGTACCAGCACTCGGCAGATCTGTTGAGTCCAACAGCTCCCATCGGACGGCGCGGTGACCGTACCACGTTCTCTCGTGAGAGCGGGTGCGATCCTTGAAGGGAATGTTATAGGGATTGCGACGTAACCCAATCAACCTGAGCGAGAGTCTGAGCTCGGTCGTTCACACGAAGTGATTACACACAACGCACAGGTGGATAATGGTCATCCCTACGCTGAAGCAGTCGACCTTGTTCAGGTACTTCATAGGTGTGTCCAGGTCAAGCTCCGGCGCCATGTAGTATGGTGTCCCGCATCTAAAGTAGTTCGCCTGCATGAACGCATGAGAACCTTATTAGTCTGGGTGAAGCGGCAAGGCATACCTGAACGTCATCATATGGCAGATCGATCTGGTACACCAGCCCAAAGTCCCCGACAACAACGCAGAGAGGTGAGCTCGTAAGTATGAATATGTTCTAAGTCATGAGGTTGGTCAGTGTGTTATTCGAAGCACATACGAGCAAAGACGGTACCTCTGGCTTGATGTCTCGGTGGACCAGAAGCAGTTTTTCAAGATGCTTGAGAGCGGACAGCAGCTGTTTCAGGATCGTCTGCGCATCTGAGGATGCTGCGAGACGGCGTGCATTAGTCAGGTGCTACGAGGAGAAGAGGCAGGGGCTTACAAGGCGGAGTGTGCGTGTAGCGACTCTTGAGGTCCGTAGGGAGCCGAGGCAAGACAACGACTGCAAACGAGAAGGTAAGCACAAGCTGAGGGAGCGAGCAGCTGGACGTACATATTGACCTACGCTCAGGCAGAATGAAGTGCTCCTCGATCGAACAGATATTTGGATGGCCATTGGCACTGAAAAGGGCCTTGACTTCCCGAAGAGCGTGCTGTTGTGTATATGCGTCCTCGTCCTCGTCGCAGTCATAGTGAATGACCTTCACCGCATACACCCTATTCTGGTCCTGACGTAGGCTCATCTGGTAGACGGCTCCATACGCGCCGGCACCCAAAAGAAATTCCGGGCGGAACTTCCTGAGGACCGGGTTGCGATCAAAAGCATTCTCAAATACAAGGCCTATAAAGAGTATGAGTAAGTATGCGCATATGTTTCGCAGCAAGTCATTGAACTCACCGCACGATTCGTCATGATAAGGCGGACCAAGCCATACGACGGCATTGTCAGCGAGCACAGCGGTCCCATGTACTGCAAGCTTTACGCCATTAACCTGAGGGTATGTGAGAAGAATGCGGAAGGAGATGGGGTTGTGATAACTCACCCAGGTGCCATTCAGCGATTGGTCCTTGATAATGACAGTATTGGCTGCCGCGTCCCACGAGATGACGGCGTGTTGTGACCCTGTCACCAGTCGTAAGTTTATTTGCAAGTTCATTGAAGTCTCTGAGGTACGCACCGGCAAGACGTCTGCGAGAGTCGACCTGTATTTGTACGTCCACATATGCGTTACCGCGACCGATGATATAATCGGCGCGCGTCGAATGGAGAGGTACTCCGCGCTCCTGAGTCGAGTCGAAGTCGCCTTCACGGAGAGGCCGCACACGCCCGAGGCAAGTGAACCAGCGTATATCGCTTGCAGCATGCATGTGAGCGGACATTGTCGGGAAGGAACGGGCGGATGCGTTGTTGGATGCTGCGGGTCGACCAGGCTGTCGAGAGGACTATATACCGGGACACGGCATAAGCCACTTGATGAAACAACCGCTCAGGCATGGTGAAGAGGAAAGACTGCTGCAAAAGACACAACAGCTCAACGTATGAAGAGCCGCTTGATCAAGGCACACGCGTAAGGACGCTGACGTACTATATCAAGTGGTCTCTTGAAAATTTGGTAGGCCAGTGCTACAATATCCCGCGGCGAACGATCTGGAGGTCCAGACACATATCGAGCTCATGGAATGGTGCATGCGGTAGAAACGTCTACTACGCGCATAGGGCGTGACATGGAGGTTGCAGTGCAAGACGCGGGTTAGACAAGTCCGGACACATGAGCGTCATCGATCGCGGCCGATGACTAGCAGTTGATGTGTCATTGAAATACATGAGCCTTTCGTCGGTGCGTCGGTGGTATGCTTGCGTATAGCAATAAAGCCGTTGAGGAGGCTTGTAGAGACGAAATACATGTAATACAACACAGCACAACACAACAGTTCTCCAGAAAACGAACGCCGCGAATGTACAAGTAGTTTATAAGCCCGCAAGTCCGGTGATAGGATATCGCTACTCCTTCAGCAGCCTCGCACGAGAGCTTCTACCGCCCATCATCCTCATTCATGGTTGCCTTGCACCTCCTTCGCGGTCTCTTCCCGCCGTCTCCTAGGCGCTCTACAGAGGCGCATCGCCACCGTCACTGCAACCCGAACAATTCGCGCAAATGTGACTACGCGTCGACCGGCCCCAGCCCCGCCCCACCGTCCGACGTCCAGCAGCCGCAGCTCGTGGAGGCAGACGACGTGACTACCAGCGACGGCAATAGCATTCCCGGCATGAGTTTAACATTGGCGATGCCGGGTGCGTATCCACACTCGCGACGCGAGCCTCGTCATCGCAGCTCGGCGTGGAGGCGGCGGCGTCAGGCCGAGGCGAGCATTAAGCGGCAGCATGCCCCCCATATCAACAAGCTGCACTTAGAGCAGATGGAGCAGGTCAAGGAGCACAAACGTCGCCGCGCGAATATCCGCAAGCGCCGCGAGGAAGAGCTTCGTCTCGAGCAGGAGGAGCTTCGCCGTCAACACGAAGAGCTTATGCGCCGTATCCGGTTGGAGACCGAGCAGTATCGCAAGCGCGAGGAGGAGCGCAAGCAGAAAGAGGAGAGGGAACGCCAGCGTCTGCGCGACGAGGCGAGTCGTCGTAAGCGCGAGCGCGAGGCGCAACGGCGTCAGGAGGAGGAGCGGCGGCATCAGAAGGAGCGGCAGCGTCAGGAGGAGCAGCAGCGTCGGGAGGAGCAGCAGCGTCGGGAGCGCGAGGAGCAGCGGCGCGTACGTGAGGGCGAGGAGGGGGACCAGCGCCGTCGCAAGTTCACCGACGTGCAGCGACTGCGCTTACTTGACGCGTATGAGGAGAAGTGGACAGAGATCCAACGCGCATACACGGTCGGTCCGGCCGAGCGCTCTCGTGTCTGGTCCATGGACGAACTGCCGTGGCCGTCGTTCGAGGGCCATGTAGCGCTCAGCGCAGAGTCCGTCCGTGCGTTCCTTCTCCACAAGACCAGGTCCAGCGCCCAAGGGGTCTCTCCACGAACCGTGCTACGTCGGGAAGCCCGTCGTTGGCACATGGATAAGTTTCAGAGAATCGTGCCTGCGGTCAAGGTTGAGGAGCGCAGCAAGGTAGAGGAAATGGCAAAGCAGACCATGATCTTCATCAATGAAGTCTTGACCAGCCTTGAGTAGTGGGTGCCCGTTACGGTTGTAGAATAGTCGAATCAGCATGTAAACTTGAATGCTACCCGAGTTGTCAAAGCGTCGGCGCTGCGATTGCCCTACGTTCGACGGCGAGGGATCATGTCACCATCTAAGTTAGATGCTCCGGCGAATCGACAGGCGTCATGCTAGCGTGGCACTGGAAAGTCCGCTCTCATGCTGCGAAGATCAAGGACAGCACGCAGCCTGCCGACACCGGGCATCAGAAGAATTGCTTGCGTGTGACCTCGCCTTTGGCCGAACGCGCGCGGGGGCGGACCTCCTCACCTCCTCGTCTTCTGCGCCCACTTAATGTCAGGTATCGTCGACTGCCCCCTTCGATCCGTCATGTCGGTACACAGCAAGATGGACCCACGCCATGAACTGCTCAGCTCAGTCTTAGGCTCGGGTTACTCATCGAAGCGCAAACTTGCCGCGCTCCCTTCGCCCAAATATGATAAGTCAATCTTTCGTCAATACTTTCGGCCTGTGCCTAACGACGCTGGTTCATACCTCAGGTACTGGCGCGTAATGCTCCCTTGGTCCGAGGCTCATCGCAGGAGTATCCCAGGTCGGGGCATCGCCTACATACATCTTCCTCTCTCTCACGTGTGGCACTAGTTCACCTCCATAACGTATCGAATGTCTCGTGAGACTATCTTGCTATGGCCTCTGTCATCGTCCAGTGTAGTGCAAAGTGCGCAAGCCACACGGCCACACTGATCTGCTAAACGCTCTCCCCGTCACAAAGCCGGTGGTATCATTTCTCGACTCGGCAGGCATTGCTTCTCGGCCGGCGCCCCATCTGAATTGTTGCGTCAGAATGCAACCTTGGAACATCGCAGTGACACAACGGCGAAGCCAACGACGAGAGAGGTGCGTACGATGTTCATATCGCCCCACCTACCTTACCAGTGACCCCCAGTCCCAGATCTTGCTATGTTGTCATACGAGTGCATGCTCATCGACTCTCGTATACGGTCCTTTATCTTGAACATATACATGCAGCTTCAATCTATTTTTCCGAGTACAATCATCTACTTCGGCGCGACGGTGTTCTAAGTCTGCGCGAGAAAACGAGACATCAATTTATTGCTTGTGCACGTACAGAACCAGTATACCAGTTCAAAGCCGCTGTTATAACGGAGGGCACCGAGACGACTCCTCGGGTCGCGGACTCGTAGCCATCCTTGCTTGCCGAGCTCTGACCACAGTTCCATACGCTCTCAATATCGAACCTGCTTCTCCATCTTTCATGAAGATTCGAGGTTCCGCTCAAGCAATGCCGGTACAGGGCCGACCACGCGACGGCCACGCGAGCAACACCTGTGACGGTCCGCAACGCCGAGACTGCGTCCCATCGCCTACATTATATCCTTGAGAGGCATGCGAGCCAAGTCTCGCAAGCTTAGCTTAGGACGTGATCATCTTCTCCTCTACACGTGTCACATCTTTCATGTCACACTTGGCACACTGGACGTCGCTGTCACACCGGTACTTATTTGCTCTCGCTCAGTGCCCCTTCTGCGAATATTGTTCGCGGATCGCGTGCAAAGTCGTACAGAAAAAGCTTGCATGCATTCACACCTGTTGTACTAGTCAAACGCCCACCGCGCCCATTCATCGCGCGCCCTTCGCCGTGACATGCACCTCAGGCCTCCTCGAACTGACGACTCTTCACAGCTTTGCGAAAGTGGACACCATATCGTGTCCATTTCTTCTCGGGCTCCGGCTCCCCGCATGATCTCAGTACAGAGACAAAGGCTTGTCCGTCTGCAATGCAATGAGGTGTGAGTAACGTATGACGATGACTTATTTTGATACGCGAGCTATTCACCTACTGGTCTTTCAGAGACCAAGGCAATCAACGCTTGGTCACTCAGGACATCCTGGTCGACGAATATACTATGCCGTTCGCCATACTGACTGAGTACCTGCGTGATTTAGTGGCTTCCAAGTCTCGAGATGGATCCTTCTACTCACTGAGCGGCGGACACCCTCCAGGATCTGCATTCTCGATAGCGTGTGGTGCGGAGCAATATTCGTGTCCGAACTTGTCGTTCGAGCACGCTTGCGACGTGGGATGGAAGCGGCAAGCGAGGAAGACGAGATTCTGAGGGTGCCACCGTCTTCATCCTCACTGATGTCGATCACCTCGGTTGCGCTGAGACGAGGGCGTGAGCTGCGAGCAATCGTTTCGGGCAGGAGACGCGACGGAGATGTCGTTGCTAGCGGAGATACGCTCGCTCGGTCCGAGGTTATTCCCCAAGCTGTGGAGGTGCCCGCCGCTCTGTTCGTTCGCTCGAGGTGCTCCGACTCCCTATGGTCAAGGTGTGTATATGCCTGCGAGGTCCAATGAGAACATGGTACGCACGTAGCCTTATCGGAGTCGCGAGCGCGCTTTGCCGATGCCGTTGACTGTTGCGAGTCAGCTGCTAGGCATCGTGGACGATGTCTACCTCGAGCTTACCAGTACGCAACAACTTGTAACATCCCGAGAACGCTCAGGTTGTTTGCCCTTACGGACACTGAAGATACCGCCGAGTTCGGAGATATCGCCGAATTCGGAGATAACGCCGGCATCATCAGCCTCCGATGAGCGAAATCCATCATCTGCTAATTCCTCGTCGTCGCTGAGGGGGTCTCCGAAGCCGCCTTCGCCGATAAGTACACTGTGTTCGGTGAATGACCTGAGGATCATGCCTTGACCTGTTTCGGTGTCCTCCTGAAGCTCCGATTCGAGAGTGCGTGGTCCTAACTGAAGGAGTGTCAGTGCGATTGCGGCTAGATCATACGCCAAGCGTTACAATCTCGCGCAGCGTACCTCGTACTTGAGCCGCGTGCTCCATTGTGGATTCCCCGCCCGGTCGGAAGTCACTGATACCGCGCGTAAAACGCCGCGGGCCAGAAGTGCGTTCATGACTGCCTGAACTATGTGAAGAGGAACCTTTTTAGCGGCACCAAACCCCGGTAGACGCCGAGCGCCAGGAAGCGTTTGCTTTCCGTTGCTTCCGCGGATAGTGTTGATGATGTGCTCGTACTTGTGCGCGCCGCTATCCCTTATAGCCTGAGAGCTAAAGAGGTTCAATAGAGACCGGGCGACCCCGGTGACTACCCGCTGAGTCAGGTACCGTCCGCGGATACAGTTATCACAGGCAGTCTCGCAACGAGCATGCGTGGAAGTAGGCTCCGAAGGACCGAAGTAATGCAGCAATAGAACATGGCGGCACACTGTGGTCTCGTACGCGTACCGAGACATGGATAGGGCTTTCCTAGTATTGAGGTCCTCGGCCGCCACTCTGTTCGCGATGACTGCATCGGATTCCGCGGGATGATTGGCGTGAAATAGTGCGCGTTGTACATCCTGCCAAGAGTATACTAGTGGTATACATTCAAATCAGGCGGCATCGCTGTGAAGTACGTTCAACTCACGGAGAAGACAATCGGCTGCCAAACCATCACGACCCGCGCGACCAGTCTCTTGTACGTAGCTATGACCACATCAATAACTTTGATTCGGATGTCGGGGCCTACAACACCTTACTCCTCGAGTGACTTGGGTGTGTCGTGATGGATCACAAAGCGAACGTCAGGTTTGTCCACTCCCATGCCGAATGCAATCTAGTGATTGGTCAACACAACGGAGAACAACATCTCGACTGAAGATAGACAACCGTAGCTACAAGAACCTGGATATGACCCTTCCGCCACGCTTCCACTGCCAACCGACGATCATCAGCCTGCTGATTACCGTAGGCAGCTATAGCGCTTCCATCTCCATATCGTTCGTTCAGCGACTTCACGACAGCGTCACAATGACGGGACGTAGTGCAGTAGATAAGCCCTGATTGGCCGTGTCTCGATCCAGCGGGGTTGTCGAGGAACTCGTATATCTCTTTCATCTTCTGTTCATGGCGACAAGAGTGTAGGGATTTGACATGATAAGACAGATTGCGTCTATCGAGTGATCCCGAGATTATATGCCAGCATTCCATTGGGATGGAAAGCTTGTGAAAGAGATCTGTCTGATCTTCGAGGGTAAGGCTGGCGGTGGCGATGGTTATACGAACACGAGGAAAGGTCTGCCCTATATCCCGCAGATAGTTCTGCAAGATGATCAGTTTCTCTCGATAAGACAAGGAGATGGCCGAACCATTGACGGCCTGAAGTGCGCCCAGTGGATGACGGTGTGCGCTTCGTCGAGGACTATCCGAGCCAGCGCATCTTGATCGCGGAGAGTGATAAAAATGCTCTTCCCGCGTCCAAAAAAGGTATCGGTGGTTGTATAGATCATTGCCGGTCGGTAATTTCCCTCAATTCGGCGCTGTAGGCTCTGCCTCTCGGTCTCAGAGGAAAGACTGGAGACTGATTCCACGGACACCCCACGTGCTTTGAGCGCGAGGGTTTGTGTAGAGATGAGCTCCAAAGTAGGCTGAATGACTACAGTCACTTGGTCCTGACTCTGTGAAAGCATGACGGCCGGGAGCTGAAAACATAGGCTTTTCCCGGCGCCTGTAGCCAGAGCGAGCACAATATGGCCTCCAGTCAGTGCGCGAGTTATCGCCGAGGCTTGGTGTTCGCGAAGGGCCGCGATGTTTGAGATATTAAAGCCGGACAACGCTATCGTGATCTCGTCTGTATACATATCGAGCCCCTGCTCGGTGTCGATTGAAGGCAATCGCTCGGCAGGCGGCTCAGAGTCGCGACCCAAAGTAACCGAGGATGCTCTAGAGGAAGGAGGAGAGTTATTCTGCACTCCATGACGCAAGGATGAGTCTGCGATAGCGTTGAGTGACATCGCGTCTGAAGCCTGAGGCGTGAGGTGGACGATCCGGAGCAAGAAGCCAAATCGTGGTTTGCACGATGATGACCTCGATATCTTGTGCTTCTCTTGTGCGACGCGCGGCGCGACGCGGTCCGGCGCGGCGCGCCCCGCGTCTGTTGTACGTTGCGCCGAAGCTTTGCACTACTAGTCCCACCAGTACTAGGCATGGCATCATGTCCGTCGCTGGCTGTCTAGCTGGTCATTCGGCTTGCCCTCTCGTTCTATCACCTTTCAGACGGTGCTTTCCCACAAATCGTAGAAGATCGGACCTCAGATCGATAGTCATAGAATGAAGGTAATATCTTGATGTGTCAAGGCCATGAACGGAAGGGTACATAGTGTGGGATTCATCGAGGCGTAACAGGATAGAAAGCAGAGTTCTTATACGTATTTTGCTCAGTCATTGGACCTGCTATGACCCAACAGTACCTCCTTTACTCCTTCACGATACCACTGGCTTGCGCGCTAACATCACCCTTACCAGCGAGTCGAGGTGAGCGGCGCTTGACCATAGCATCGTTCAAATGAACGTCGCCTATATTCGCGGGGTTAACTGCTGGCTCAACAGGATGCAATTAGGTCTGGCGCGCGACTGGACTGAAGGACATAATACTCACCAGTCTCGCGTCCATCGTGACACTGTAGGCGAGGAACGGCCGAAGGACATCCACTGATCTGCGTTAGAGGTGTCAAGACACTAGCGAAGTTTCGCGGCGGCGGCGGAACCCTCACCTGTACATGTCGTGAAGAGGGCCCCGCATCGAACGTAGTCCCTATAGTGGTGTTGGTATTCACACGCGCGGGGACGCCATCGTCCTAATCACACAAACATCAGCGCAGGCTCGCGATAGCGTAGCAGAGAGCAAATACATGGTCCTGGTGCCCACTGAACCTCCCAAAATCAACCTTTGAAAGCAAACCCAGAAGGGGATCGCGGACACAGATGGTGCTCTCGAATACAAGTCCTGATATAGATCCTTCGATGTGAGCGTCTCAGATGGCCGTCATTCAAGGGATACTCACCGCATGATTGGTAGTGCTCTCGAGGACCGAGCCAAATCACGGCCCCGTCCGATAACTCGCATGTACCACGAGGGGGAAGCTTGGATCCATTAACCTAGCCACGAGTTTTCAGAAAGCTAAGCTCATGGACATCATGGTAGAGATGCGCACCCAAGTACCATTCCTAGACTGGTCTGAGATTGTAACAACGCTCGGTATGTCACAGGAGATGACAGCGTGGTGGCAGCCTGTGATAACTTCAGCCGGTGCACCCAGTGAGAGAATCTGGCGGGCTGGTCACGTACCCACATAAATCTTGCTTGAATCAACCCGAACTTCAACGTCAACACCTGCAGGGGAGGCGCCACGCCCCATCATGTGCTCCCTCTTCGTCGAGTACAGAGGTACGCCATAAAGCTGAGTAACGTCAAGGGCTCCTCTGAAAAGGGGTCTGATATACCCAAAAGGGATCGAACTGTCGACGACTGTGGCGGACTGGAGTGACATTTCGAAGGGCGCGAAGTAACGAGAGAACTGTGGAGTATGACTGTAGCTGGGTGGTCTCAGTACCGCACTGGCCTCTTATAAGCAGTCGAGGACGTCATACCAAGTACATCAGCTTCAGAAGTCAATGTCGCACTCAATGAAGTGAGGCCACAGAGACAACAGATGTTACGCGGCAGCCCACACAAGGCGCCCGTAAGCATGATGACCGCACAAAAGCGTGTCAAGCCAGAGTGACGAGGCCTTGATGACTACTTCAGCATTTGACTGGGCTTCAGGGAACGAGGATACAGTATTGAGAAAGCAGGTGTGTTCTTCAGTTACATGGTGGTCGGAGTTCGAGTACAAGACTTGAGACAAGGAGTACGGCGGTCCCGACCCGAGAGCGCGTCGCGTGGCGGCCTAGACGCGTACGTCATCGCGCTTTGCGTGGCGGATTTCCCCTCCCGGAGTACCACCACCATGCCAATGTTCCCGGTTATGTCTACATTGTCTCCCGTGCGTGAACTGAGGACATCTTGGCCACTAGCCTGGTGTATCAACAGCTGTCGTGTGGCATCAGCGCGCGCTCCGCGTTGCCCAGCTATCTTGTACGCCCATTAGACTTGTGAGACATCTGGTTACCGTTACGGCTCTTGTACCGTGATCCCTACCCGACAGTGCTCTCTCACTCGGATTTACGGCCTGATATCTTTACAGGAGCGCGCCGTTATTCACCATTTCGCGACTCTTGATCACGTACATTCGGTCTTCACTGTCATCGCTGCTCTCGTCTCGACTTCCTGTCCCTTAATCCCTGAGCGTTCAAGCAGCCATGCGACTTCATGGCGAGGAACTTTACATTTAGAAGGGTGTGAAGCGAAATAAGCACGCGAGTGTACATATGTGTGAGAAAAGAATGAGAACAGCACACACAACATCCTAATCCTGTGAGAGTGCGTGAGTTCGACTCGAAAGGAGTAAGAATGCACGTACGCGATCAGCAGGGAGGCCCAAGATGACAGGGCCGTCGATTCCATCCCAGGCATCCCACTGCGTGACGCAGCAGTGGCTCAATATGTCTTCCATAGGTATAACATGTTCGTCTGGTAAGAGTTCGGCATGGAACAGCTTGCCGCCCACCACAGGCCACCGACGGTAATGGTCCATCGTGGCTTCCGGATCAGTAAGAGGACGGAAGTACTGCACGACCGCGTATCTGCCTTCGATCTTTGTGGCGTAACCAGGGATGCTGGCGCTATGGGTGAAAAGACGTTGTATCCTAGCGAGCTTCCAATTAGGCGTCAACTCGCTCCCAACGGCAACGAAGCAGTTCGGAGAGTCGATACTATACGTGACCGGCCCAACTTCGATCTTCTTTTGCTCGATGGGCTGAAGGACGGATGCTAGGAGGGCGACGCCTGTCTTGCGATGTATGATGTCTGCTAGCTTCTGCAGCACATCTCGTACGAAAACAGCCGCTTTGAACCTTCGAGGAGGTATTGGGGCCAGGGATGGCGTGGCGTCTTCATCGAAGGCAAGAATATCGTTCAGCATGGTACCGCGCTTATCTCTGTCGAGAAGGCGCTGGAAGATCGGTTCGAGCTCTTTGAGATCCGGGCCTAGCCCGCCATCATACACCAAAGCCCGTAGACGCTGCTGCAGCGTGAACCGATCAAACATGGTGAGTTCTATTTCGCCTATCACCCAGAATAATCAGCAGGTAGGCGGATGGATACCCCTTCAAAGGACTCACCGAGATGGTTGTTCGTGTTGATTAACTGCAGCATATAGTTCCAGCGCTCAAATACAAAGCAGCGCCAGGCGTGAGTAGGTCCCAGAATGAGGAGGAAAAAGGGCAAATGAAGCGACAGGTGCTGATTCGATTCGAGGGAAATGCCGGGAAAGAGCTCGCGGAGCCCTGCGAGCCAAGCACGCATGTGCTGGACGTATTGCCTGACCCGACTTGTGGTCATCTTCCGGGACGCGGCAAGCTTGGTGGCCGTGACAAGGTGCATGAGATTATCGAGCAAGAGCCTTTCGCGAGAGTTTGCATCGAGACCGCCCCAAAGCCGAACCATGGTGACCACGAGGTTGGTGAGAACGAAAAGCCTCCAGTCGTCGGCTGAGACCTTGCGGTGCTTCCCATCTCCGATATGGAAGGGAGCCTTGCCCATCCACTCGGGAATGACCGTAAGCCCCATGTCCCTCCATATCTCTTGTAAGCGGAGCTTTCCGAGCACTGCTGTTTTCTTCGACGCACGTCCCGCGTACAGATGAAAGGCCTCGATGAATCGTGTGGGATCGGGGCTGACCAATTCGTATCTGTAATCGACAACTCCGCGTTCTTGACGCTAACGATGAATCAATACCGCGGCATCTCGAGTTACAGTGCACTACCGTCACTCACCGCACGTTGTATCCTCTCCAACAACTCGGGCTTTTTGAGCTTCTTCAATGCATCGCGCGCTGGATCATGACGACCGAGCTGCAGCACGTCAACAAGGCCCGCCCTCAGCAGTCGTTTGGGGAATTCAGAGAAGTATTGGAGCTCTGGGGCGCAGTGGAAGTACTCGCGAAAGGAAGCAAGTTCGGAAGGATGAGGCATATCATGTATCTCTGATAAGGGGCGGGGTACCTCGGCTGCGCCGGGGTCATGCAGCCTCGTACCGCCTTCATCAAACCACGTCTTCCGTATGCGCTATCGCCGGGATGAATACGAGAAGCAGTAAGAGAAGCCAAGGACTCACATGTGCAATCAAGGCATCGACGTATGGCTTCTTCGTGTTCTTATTGCGCCCTACGATGAGAGGTCTCGGCACGTTCTCACGCACAACGAGTGCTCGCAAGTGCTCCAGTTTCATCTTCCCTAACTCGGCGGCAGGCGAAAACTTGACGTGCAGCCAAAGCTCGTCCAAAAGATGATCGTGAGGTCCAAGGTGCACGGGGTCGGAGAAGGTGCCGTCGCCGTCGTCACGGGTAGCCGACATGCCCAAGAAAGTTCGACAGTAACGCTTCAGATTGCCTTTGAATAGGGCGTGCATCATGTCGATGACAGTAAAGCGTGAGGGGATCCAGTACGGAAGATCCAAAAGGGCAGAGTAACGGACGCCGGACTCTGCGAACACCCTCTCGCGTTCTGCCGCGGTACGCGCGCGAATCCACCTATCCGCACAGTCTTTGTGGGACGGTAGGTCTCGTGGTGGCCATTTCTTCTCATCGAGATTGTTCCGATCGTCGTATGGCAAGAGGCAGTAGGGACAGAAGTAGGTATGATTGTGGGCACCGAAACCTGAAATCTGGCGTGCAGCGGGGGTATCGCAGACCACAAGGAGCAGCGCCAGGCGAACAACAACGCCGTTTTCATGGCGAGGAAAGCGAGAGTATGTTATGCCACTCTCCCAGAACGGCAAGAGCATGTCAACCAGGATGGCTAGGACGCTGTTGATCTGCGAAGTTGACGGAGAGTTTGGCCCAGGAATAAGGCCCACGAGGAACATGTTCTCGACGCGGTAACGCAATGAGGGGGGCAAGTTGAGACAAATCATGTACATTGCCGTCGTGGTGGCCTTTCTCCCGGCCTCTTTCATCTGGAATGGGTTGAAACCATCTACGTTTAGCGCGAACACGAGCCTGATCTCGCCCGCCTGCACGGTCATGAAAGGAGTCTTTCCATCGGGTCCTAGGAATGTCGACAGCTCGTACGCGTCCCAGATGTCCCCCATCTCTGCTTTGAGCTGGGCCTCGCCAATCAGAGCATCCACCATGCCTGGCCGGCTCAAGAGCCACGCTACCCAAGCCTTTAGATCTTGTATGAGGATACGGCGGGCAGGGTACGTCCAGGTCTGACCGGCGAAGGTTCGCTGACGTGTGAGTGGTTCTTCGCAAGGCGCAACGTCCGGTGTCTTGCGTTTCGTGCACCGCGCGGGGTAGGAGTCTAACCCATTATCATCATAGCAAGCAAAGCAAGCTGGACAGCTGACGTGCGACGTGTACTTTATTGCCTCTCGGAGATGGAGGTTCTTCACAGCGACCCTGGGGACATGCGGTATGCCATCGGTAAGCTCGGATATCTTAGCAGTAGGCACGACGGCTTTTCGCAGGGCTAGTCGTACGACAAAGCCAAGACTGTCGAGAATAAATCGACACTTCTCTTCCGACAGCCCCAGAAGGAGCAAGGACGCTGTGGCAATAACGCAAACGGCGGACACGAGAGACGCCGACTCCTCCAGAGGGCGGTAAGCGAAAAGGCTTGTGTCAAATATCGACGGATCGGAGCGACGTTCGACGGCCGCGGCCGCGACCGTGGCCTCGTGAGTGGTAGCCTGTGTGAAGTAGGCCAGAGAGAGCGAGTTTGCGAGCGCCACAAGCTTCGCATCGATGAACAAGAGCAATCCGTTTTTCTCGTCCAGAGCGCGGGGCCACTGAGAGGCATCAAGCTCCTTCACCTGTGAGGTGAAATGGTGGAGGTATTCCAGCCTCTGGAGGAAGGGGGCGTTGGAGGAAGCATTTGGGTCGAGCAAGTGAGGACCGACGTCGGCGGCCGACAACGTTGAGCTGGTAGGCGGTTCGCGAAAGATGTAGTCCTCGGCGGACATGGTGAGCGGTTGAACCCTGCTTAACTGCTCCTTAAGATCACGGATCTTGGTAGTGCACTGCGTCTCGAAGAATGTGGGGAAGGAGTCTGTGGGAATCGCCGTAGGTGCCAAGCGGGCTGCACGAGCTATACCGCTTGCAGTCAGTTTCTAGAAGAACAGTGAATAGTCGAGAGCGCACCTTTCGCAGCCTCTTCCTTCACCCTCTGCCGCTCGTCCTGGCTCCTGTGTATCTCGAGCGTGCGGCGGTCAACAAGCTGGCCGTTTGTGGTGGCTCCGGTCAGTGGATGAGCGCATTCTCCTTCCCGACACCTGTTGACACGGCAGGTACAAACATGTTGATCGGATAGGTCAAGCTTAGCTCGACCTCGCGCCGCCATGGTCAGTCACCCTGCCGGACGTAGAGTTTCAGTCGATAATCCTAGCTCCAGTGATATGTACGAACACACCGGGAAACGCGCGATGGGTGCACAGACGAAATTGAACCTCTTTCTGGACAAGTCTAAGCTCAGGTCAGTCTTGGTTGGCAAAGAAGACGGAGGGACACAGACGAATCGTGCGATGGACGTCGAGATGTAAGCAAGTAATTACGCGTGCTTGCATGGTGCAACATCACTGGATGTGCCTGAACGACCGAGCGGCCGACCTTCGAGCATCGATAACGTGGCGCGTCGAACGGTTATCACATGCCCAATACCCAATGGACATAGGCACCTCTGTCTGGGACATGTAGAGCGATTTTCAGGTATAGCACTGCGAGTGCGAAAGAGAAATAATTCGCAAGTCCTTGTCAAGGACAAGCGGTCGTTTGCGGCGAAGGCAACATCTATGTATAGACCGGACCATGCGAAGCGTGCGCGAGACCTACTTCGAAGACGATGAGGGATACAACAACAGTAGTACAGCAAACGGCACTTCTGTACTTCTCTCCCATAGACCAAGACCAAGGCGCGCGCTTGAAGCTTGTCGTAGCACGTGTCAAGCGGTGGTCCCTCAAGCTTCAGACCATTGCGGGTACGTATACTCCTGACAAGATTCTCGAGCTTCGAGCCCTTCTTGGTGGGCAAACCGTTCATGATCTCCCAGCGCTCGAAGACGGACTGGGGGAGGGCAGGCCACCGATTGCCTGACGAAGGTCACCGTTGAAGCCGAACGGCTCCATGACGGGCATGTAGGCCTTGGCGGTGAACATGAGCGTGCCGGCATGCCGCTCCTCGGAGAAGACCTGACCACGGCGCTTGTTCAAGCACGAGTAGATACCACCGATCGCATTCTCCGGGCACTGGATCTCGACGAGATAGACGGTCTCCTGGAGGCCGGGCTCGGCGAGCAGGCAGGCAGCGTAGGTCGAGCGACGCATCGTCGGGATGATCTGACCTCCACCACGATGGATGGCATCAGTGTGGAGCTGTAATAGTCCATTAAGTGCATGTCGTCATGGAGGATTGAATATGGAAGACATACAGTAACATCGATGATGTTAACGCGAACACCACGCATGATCTCCTCAGCGCAAACACCCTCCTTCGTTGCCCACTGGAAGGCAGCAACACAAGAGTCCTTGATCTCGTTAAGGTACTGCACACCCTTCGTGACGTCGACAACCAAGTTAGGGCCAGTCGTGTCAGGTCCGAAACACCAGATCTTGCGGGCGTCGGTGACGTCCCAACCGTACTCGTCAGCAAGTACGCGCGCGCGCGCCTTGAAATCGTCACGTGGGTTGATCTTGCCCTGCTCGATCGCGACGGTAAGCCACTCTCCGAGCGGCATCGCCTTCGTGAAGAGACGGTTGTGCTTGTT